GCATGTATACAATGCACTCCGGACTAGTTGCGTTACTCTAGGTCTTCCTGCCAATATGATCAAGTTGCGAAAGCAAGGTCAACAACTACTATGCATCAAAAAGAGACCGACCAAAATATCGGCCACACCATCTTGGCTTTCGTATCTACATATCTTGTTTTGTTTATCAAAACTACCAATCGATATTTAAAGTTAAGCAACTCGTCCTAGATCTTAAAATAATGTTTTTCGTCGTAAAACGTAATTAAACGAATGCTTATTTCATAAGGCCTCTCAAATAAGTTGTGGTTCATCCTTGAATAAATTATAGGTGTACTTATTGGAGAAAGAACAGAATTTCATATCATTCAGGTTGAGTTTGTCAGTTCTCAACCAGTATCTCTCTATCTTTATTTTGTAGACTACGACTTGGTAAACCCTTAATCTCAGATAATCTTGTCTAAAATTTAGTCTCCTTTTTATTTAACCCTTTACTCTTGCATTTCATGCCCTACTTAATGATTCCTCCAGATTAACCAAACACTAAAGGAATACGTTATTCTTCTGGGGAAGTCAATGCCTCGCCAACTCCTGCTACCACAGGCTAACCAGACCTCAGATGCTGTATTTACCTATTACTACAACCAACTACGCCAGGTTTACCAGTATCCTGACCTGCGTACCAATGTATGTCAGAACTTCCGAGAACTTGGCAATATCATTATATTTTGTTTGCAGCTAGAGAAGAGCCTGGTAAGTTAACTCGAATCGTCATTGCCTGCTTCCATAGCTGTCCTCGTTTTACTTTCATGTTAATTATCGGTAGAGACCTTTTTTGAAAGCGTGGCTAGATGAGACTAACAGGAATAATGAAGCCTTTTTTATCAGTTATCAGCAGCCTTTTTACCAAGCCTTGAATCAAGCCAGCTACACTATCTTTTTAGTACCTGGTGGTAGATTCTTTAAAAATATGATGTCCAAGGCAAAACTGACCTCTTTTAACCCACGTTTATGGTGTGTATGTGTATGTTGGCAAAAGTTTGTTTGAAAAAAATATGGTAATATGCTTAACTTGACTGACATAATCGCTTCCAACTTATATTTGGTTCTCTAGCTAACACCGCCTTAAAAAAAACATTGAATAAACAATTTCCTTCTTATCCGTCGTGAGACAAACTCATTTATATCGATCGATTTAACTGGAAGAAGAGAAAATCTCGTCTAAATGTGGTGCTTTCAGGAACCCTCACTATAATATACATGAGAATGACTAGATTAGTCGTAGATCATGAATCAGTCAGCTAGATGACTGTAAATGTCGCTTCCTTACTGCTTTTTACTATTGCTTTTGAATTTTTTTGAATTTTCAAAATAGAATTTTTTCAAAATAATTTTGCCCTAAGAGCAAGATAAAATCTTGTTCTAAGGCAGCTTTTCCGTGTATGATTGGCTGGATAAGTAAAATTTAAGTGCTGGAAAAATCTCTGCAGTTTTTTCATATAACTTGAAAACCGTTTAGATATCGTAATTCACAGCATACTTTTCTTCATACAGTTCACGTCATCTGTTCAAGGCAGGTATCTTATGAAAGTATATATTATGCGCATCATAGATGGAAGTGGGGATTCGTTGACTTAGGCTATGAATAGAAGAATATGTTTATTAAATTTGATTTCATTCAACTTAGCAAGATTTATTTATTTAATTACTTCCATTT